GCATAAATATAGAAGAGACATTGTCTAGTTGTCCCAGGCTGGCTTTATTTGTCTAGCTGTGAAAGGCTGCTGACTTTCATTCATAAAGCCTAGGTGACTATGTTCCTGAATCACAGAAGAGAAAGGAAATGAATGAATGCTCCTTCAACGGAGTAGATGAATGAACAAATTAAGTAGCCAGTTGGTTTAATTACAGCTTTCAGTTTTCCCTCATCTAATAAGCACTGCAACCATTCCGCCTCTGGTTGAAAACAAGTATCTGCTACTGTGTGATTATATATCTGAAATCAATGAAGGGAAAAACAAATAGTAAATTCATTCCCTGAATTTTTCCTCTTATGGTTTACATGTGGTCTACCTATTTCTCTAAAGTCTCACCATTTCTAAACAGTGCTTTTTAGACCATCAGCATCTAAAATGTGAAGAATGCTAAGTGCAAATGCAGATTCCTGGGCTGTGTTTTGCCCTCCTTGGGCTAAAATATCTGCAAATAGAATTCATATTAAAAATTTTTCCACAGGTGATTCTGACATAACCTAAGTTGTTTGAAAATGACCACAGTTTCAGCCTCACCACAGGTTCAGAGATTTGCTGATCTCATCTTCTGAAAGACTCTAGTAATCTTCTCTAGACTTCAGAATCCTGGCATTCCCCCATCTCCTCCCCTTTTCTGTCCATCACCCTCAAGCAGGTAAAAGGAAGCTTGCATCCTCTTAGGTCTGACTCAAGGCAAAGTAGGCTCTAGATCACACCTGGGTCTGCAGAAGAACATGAAAAAAGGAGCTGCTGATTCGGGCCTAAGAACTGTCCTTGACTCTTTGGGTTCAGACCTAGGAAATAGTAGTTCTGAGTCTTCTGGGACCCAAAAAAGCATTAGAGATAAAACACTTTCTACCTCTAGGAGAGGCTAAAGCAGCATGCAAACACATTTGTGGATGTGAAGAGAAGGAAGTGGCAACCCACTCCAGTATTCTCGCCTGAGAAATCCCACAGACAGAGAAGCCTGGTGGACTAACAGTCCATGGGGTCACAAAGAGTCAGACACAGCTGAGCAACTGAGCACATACTTTCTACCTCTACAAGAGGCTAAAGCAGCAGGCAAATACATTTGTGGATGTTAAGAAGAAAGTCAGGAAGGGAAAGAAGAGTGATGATTAATAAAGGCAGTGACTTTGCTGGCATTGTCAATCGCAACTGCCAATGACTGTTCCTGAATGAGTAAAGGTCAATGTGTGAATGAACGATTAGATAAACATTTCATACTTTCTGGTGACCGAAAACAACAGCAGCAACAACAAACAATTTCCTCATCCCTAAGATTATTGTCCACCGCGGGGGGTGGGGGACGGGGGTACACATGGGTGCTTTATATTAGTCTCACTCAGAATCTCATCTGTAAATTTTAGTAAGGAACACTGGGCTTCCCTGATGGCTAGGTGGTAAAGAATCTGCCTGCCGTAATTAGCCTCCAACTAATAAAGATAAATGAAAAAAAAAAAAAAGAATCTGCCTGCAGATGCAGAATACACGGGTTCAATCCCTGGGTTGGGAAGATCCCCTGGAGAAGGAAATGACAAGCCACTCCAGTCTTCTTACCTGGGACATCCCATGGATAAAGGAACCTGGTGGGTTTCAGGTCACGGGGGTCTCATAAGAGTCAGAAACGACTTAGTGACTAAACAACAACAAAGAACACTGGTAGAAACTAACTCAGTAGGTTTTAAAACTCTGGAGGGTCAAGCATGGAATTCTGTAGAAATGCTCTGTCATGAAGAAACTGCTAGGAAACAACTCTGGAGCTGTGTGGTGTCTGATTCAGGGCCTCACAAATATAAAAGAGAAATAGTAAAACTGAGAAAAGCTAAAAGTCAGAAAGCTTCCCTGAGCAGACACATTACTGCCCTCCCTGTTACGTTCTAGGCTATCCACCCCAACCTCAAGGACTCTGAGCTCTTCCCAGCTTCTAACTTGACCAGACATTTTTTTTTTTTGGTTATAATAAAAGAAGGAAGAAAATAGATTCTTTGGAGAAAATGGAAAATAACATGAGAAAAATGAGAAAATCAGCTGGACTAAAGGCATATTTGCCACCAAAGCATCATCATTTCTTCAAGGATATAATCTGCCTGCTGAGCCTATCCACAAATATTTTTGAAACTCAGAAACATACAGCACATTCTTTATAAAAGGATATTACTGTTATATTCTATATAATATATAATATTATATATTCTATATATTCTATATAATTCTATATCATATATAATATTATATATTATATATACTGTTATCCTGATATTCTTTATAAAAGGATATTACTTCTTCAACCAAGGATCCTGTCCTGGTGGTGGGCTGACTCTAAGATAGTACTTAATGTTCTCCATCTCCTAGGATTCATACCCGGTGTAATCCCCTCCCCTTGAGAGTGGGAAGGCCAACAGAATACAGCATAAGTGATGGGATTCACCTGCATGATTATGTTAAAAATCTCGGTCTTGCTAGATTTTCCATATTGCTTTCTCCACTTGCATACTTTGATGAAAAAAGTGGCCATGCTGGAGAGGACCACAGAACAAAGAATTAGAGAAATCTTCCAGCTAAGAGCTGGGAAGGATCTGTAACCTTTAGTCAAACAGTCCTCTGGGAACTGAATTCTGCCAATAACCTGAAGGGGCTTAGAAATACATCCTTCACCACTGAGCTCTCAAATGAGACCACAGCCTCAGCTAGCAAGTTTATTTCAGTCTTGTAAGAAACCCTGAAACAAAGGAATCAGCTAAACTGTGCCCAATCCTTGACCACAGAAACTGTATTAATAAATGTGCATCATTTTAAGCCATTAAATTTGGGGTAACTTGCTATACAGCAATAGATAACTAATGCAATACTGATCTAAGCTGAGCTATCAAGGAAAGAGTGTCTGTTTTTCACAGTTTTGAACAATTAGTCTTGCTAACCATGCTAGAGTCTGTAAAATAAGACACACTCTTCCAAGCTGCCTATATCCAGCACATATATGGCAACCTCTTTAGCCACTGGGAGGTGGGGGTGGGGGGCGGCCGAAGGGTTTTGAGAGGTGCCAAATGGGAAAGTCATTTAGTCCATGAAGAGATACTTACTGATTTGTTAAAACAGAAATTGGTATTGGCTTGTGTTCTAAAGAGCTTTTAAATCTCAGAGGATGATAAATCGAGTGCTACCTCCACATTTTCAGTCAGAGGCTTTAGTTATAAGTAATTCCACATGCTGTAACTATCAGCAGTATGCAAGGAGGCTGCCATAGGAAATGAACCTTCATGTGCCTGAAGCCAGGGTTTATATTTTCTTTATGATGACATTCACATCAATACACATACACACAAACTGTTATTGTGAGAAGACAGATTAATTGAACTTACTTTTCAATTGCATCAGCTTCTTTTTTAATGTAGTGACGAATGGATTCAATTAGACAGAAACCATATTTGTGGCTGACGTATCGAGGGTGTTATTTCTTCCCACAGATTTCATCATGCACAATGACTAAAGGCACTGCCTTTCTTTGCTGTCTCTCCAGGTTACACTCGTAGGCAGCTCTCTGACTAGAAGACAGTAGATCCTTCTTAATGAGACCCTGGCAAAAAGGAAAAGAGAAATCCTTTAAGACGCTGGTCAAGAGACAACAAGGTACTTTCTCCTCTTTTCACTCCTCAGCTTCTTGGCATTGCCCTGGCTGCATGCCTCCTCTATCTTCGCATGCAGGTGTTGTCAGCAGAACATCCATGGTGAATAAAGAGCCAGGCTCTTGGGCTGGGCCATCTGCAGGGACTGCAATGGAGCTGGACACAGTTGACGAATGGAGTTAAGACCTGAGTCATCCAGTGCTTCTCTCTGTTAAGTTCATACATACCCTCATTGAAATGTTCAGGGGTCTACAAGACCATCTTTACCTCTGTCACCAATCTCAAGTTAGAGGGTCCCCGTGATCACTCTATGGTTTGACAATTCGCTGGAAGGACTCAGAAAGCTCACCAAAAGTGGCTATACTCACAGTTATGGTTTAAGACAGAACAGGGACAGAGATTAAAAGCAGCTAAGGGAAAAGGGACACGAAGAAGGGTCCAGGAGAGCCCAAAGCATGGGACCTCCAGTTGTCTTCTCCCTGTGGAGTTATGCACACTTGATTTCTCACAGCTGCAATGTGTGACGATACACACGAGCCAGTACCAACCAGATAAGCTCACCCAAGCCTTGGTATCTAGAGTTTTTACTGGGGCTCAGTCACATAGCCATGGCTGACTGGTCATGCCGTCAACCTTAGTCTCAAGAGGTCAGATACATACTACATGACCCAAGGACCCTTCCTATAAATCACACTGCTAGCATAGGCTATCTGGCTTGGCCAAAGGTCCCCAGGTTAAACAAATCAAGGCAAGATTTTCCGAGGTCTTAGAGGGGTTACCTCCCAGGAGCCAAGGGCAAAGGCCAAACCTCTTTGGGGGAAAGATTAATCCTTTATTGTCCATCCAGACCTTCTTGCTCCACTTGACAGAATTTCTCTGCAAAATCCCTCCAAACTTACACCTCTCCTAATCTCTTCCATCCTCAAGAACAACACCAACAATCATCCAGGTGATCAAGCCACTTCCACCCTAATTCAAGCCACCATCAGTTCTCACGTGGGGGGTTTCTGGCAAGTGCAGCTGGGTAGATGAAGGTAGCACAGACTGGGGGTTTGGGGGGCCCTGCGTGTGTTGCAGACTGCTAGTACCGGCCCAGGACGCTGCACCCCGGCCCTCCTCCCCCAGTAGGACCCCGAGCCTCCAGCCAGGGCTTACTTGGTTCGCCAAGGAAGCCTAGATGCAGAGCCTGGACAAGAAGATCTGCTCCCTGCCCAGTCCCGAGTCCCAGACGCACAACTCAGCGGGCAAAACTCAAGTTTCAGAACCTGCTGGGCCCCCAAAACAGAAGGGGAAGAAAGCACATTAGAAATTCCAGGAGCGGGTCCCTGTGGAGAAGCCTCAGGGCAGGAAGTCAGTGGCAGTGAAAAAGGAGGCGGCAGCCTTCAGCTCCATTGCGGCCCCTGCGGATGGCCTGGCCCCAGGGCCCGACTCTTCATTTGCCGTGGACGTCCTGCGACAGCGCCTGCAGGAGAACATAGGGGAGGCACGCAGCCAGGGCAACGCCAGGAAGCTCTTTCCCACCTCTTTGGAGAAAAGTTGCTGGAGGTAGCTGAGGAAGGAGCGGGACCGGAAGTAGAGGATCCGGAGGGAGCCGGGGATGAAGGAGAAAGCCGCCAAGGTCTCCAAGGGGCCCCCTGAGGTGCCGGGCCAGCCGGGCGGCTCTTCACGAAGGTAGAGGGGAGTCAATAAGAGGAGAAGGCCCGCAAGGCGCAGCGCAGGAAGGAGAGGAGGCAGAAGGTGAAGGGGCTGATGGGCTGGAACAGCTGCCGGACGGGGATGCGGCCCAGGGCCGGGAGCTTCAGGCCAAGATGCAGGGACGAACCTGCTGTCCAAGGCCAAGGGCATGAAGACCCTTGACAGCCAGCACCTGCAGCCGGAGGCCCTGAAGTACCAGGAGAAGCGCGGGGGCAGCGTGGGTGCACGTGGGAGAAGCGCAGGGCCCGCGGCCCACGTGGTGGGGAAGATGCTGCTGCAGGACGGATGGCGGCAGAACCTGCGCAAGGAGGCGGCGGCCAAGGCCGAGGGGTGCCTGGAGAAGGGCCGCATCCTGCACCCTGGTTCTGGAGACCGGCCTGGCCTGAGGGCCCCGATGCTCGACCCAAGGCAGGCTCTGGCTCTGGGTGGAGAGCGGACGCTGTCACACTCCGCTCACCGACTTGTCCAGGGCTCAGGCCGCGTGGGCAGAAGAGCCTTCAGATCTGGGGAAGGGTTGATCCACACCTAGACTCCAGCCTCCTCTCTTGAGGCCGGAACGCTCCCTGAAAGTTGCAGGGTGGGGGACGAGGGAGCGGTAAGGAGGCGGTGGGCGCCAGGTAGGGAGGGGCGGGCTTCACTGACCCCCTCGTTATCTCCCGAGTTCACAGGAGCAGGAAGGGAATGGCCTTTGGGACTGCTGTGTCAGCCCCAAACTCACTTGAAAAGGACAAAAACCAGCACCTGAAGCCAGAACCGAAGGTGGAATTGTTGGTCTCGGGTAACTGGGAGAAAGCGGGGCCATCCTCAGGTTGCCTGGAATTGAATTATTCTAAGTTTATTTGCAAGATGAGTAAAGATTAGAATTTAAGATAAGCATGCACATTTAAAATCCTAAAATAACCACAGAAGATAGAAACAGTCTAACTAGGAGGAAGAAATATGGAGTGGGATGGACAGTGTCAATCTAGAAGGAGGTGGGAGAGAAAAACCTCCGACTCAGCCAGGTGAATGGAGGATACACAGAGGCAGAGTTAAGTCCCAGCTCACAGGCAGCCAGGTGAATTTTATGGTATGTAAATTATTTTTTTAAACCTGTTAATAAAATTCTTTTGACTAAATTCCAGTTAAGAAACAGATGGTAACCAAAAGGAAGCTGGTGTTGGCTGTATTAGAAGATGAAGTCAATTTTAAGATAAAGGGCACTGCTAAAGAGAAGGAATATCACCACATGATGAAAAGGGGTTCAAATCACCTGGAAGGTGGAAATCTGTGCACCAGGTCTGTCTAGCAGAAACTGACACAATTACAAGGGGAAATCAAGTCACAAACCAAAGTGGGAGATTTTTAACATCTCTTTTAGGAATCGGTACACAGATAAAAATCAGATGGCTGTGGAAGGTTAGGATGAAAGTAGTTATAAGCTTGATCTGATGGACACACAGGCAGTATCTGAAAACAGTATGTACTTCAAGCACAGATGGAACAGTGGGGGAAACTCTCAAAGTTTGTAAAACAAGTCATATTTCAAAGTGTCAATGTCATACAAAGTATATTACCTGGTCATAGCACAATTTAAAAACTTAATCGGTAATTGTTAAAACACACTTCTAAATTACCTGTGGGTCAAAGAATAATCCCTAATGGATGTCAGAGTATTTGGGACCAAAAGATAATGAAGATGTTATGCATTAAAATGTGTCATTCACAGAAAAGACACTGCAAAAAAAGCACTATATAGCCTTTAAAAAAAAAGAAAACAACTTCTCACCTGGACTATTGCCACCTCATATCACATTGTCTCCAGCTTTGCCACCTCACAGGGCAGTATCCACAAAGTAAAGAATTCAAGTCATTCCTCCTCTATTTAAACCCAACCTTCCCATCCCCCAAAGGCATCCCTTCACATTTAGAATAAAAACTAATGTTCCTTTTCCTGGCTCGCCTCCTCTCATTCATCTCATATTTCTCTCTATGCACATTTTGCTCTGCCCACTCTGGTCTTTTTTTTCTCTTCCTCCAAGCTCATGCTACCGTAGGGCCTTTGCACTGCCTATTTTCTCTACTTTAAACCTCTGCCTTTAACCTTCCGCCAAGATTATCTTTCTTGTTCAGATAATGCTCATCTTTCTGCCTTCCACAGCACTGAGCTCAGTCTTGGGAGTTCATTAAAGAGTGAAAGGACAAAAGAGGACTCTGCTAAAATGATATTGGAAAATCAGAGGGAAGAAAGAGTTCTGAAATGAAAGGATCCAAGAAGACTTCACATGGGATTTGTGATGATGGAAGCAGGAGGAAAAGCCCACTAAGCAATGGGATCGATACAACAAATAAGGCATGGAGATAGGAGAGGATACCTCTGGACAAGAGTTAAGTCGTTCTATTTGGGAAAAGTATAGGCAAATAAGGGTTTCCCAAGTGGCTCAGTGGGTTAAGAATCCACCTGCAATGCAGAAGATGCAGTTTCAGTCCCTGGATTGGGAAGATCCTCTGGAGGAGGGCATGGCAACCCACTCCAGTATTCTTGCCTGGAGAATCCCATGAACAGAGGAGCCTGGTGGGCTACAGTCCGTAGGGTCACAAATGACTGAAGCGACTAACCACGCACACAAGCACACACACAGGGCATATAAAGAGGAATTCTAGGAAAGAAAGTGGGGAAAGCTGACTGGGATCAGAATTTATTTAAGTCTCTATAATCACAACTCTAGACAATGTGAAGCCCCTGAAAGTTTTTGAAAAAGGACTTATTGTGACTGATACTGTGCCTTAGAAGACTGAATTCAGGCAAGATTGGCTTCACAAGTGCGCAAACTCTGCTGGCATCGTGGACCCCAATCACAGAGGGGCCCTGCATTTTTCTTTTTTCCTTTTTTTTTTTAGGTGTGGACAATTTTTTAAGCCATTATTGGATTTGTTACAATATTACTTCTGTGTTACGTTTCAGTTTTTTTGGCTATGAGGTATGTGAATTTTTAGCTCCCCAACCAGGGATCAAACCCACACCCCATGCGTTAGAAGGTGAAGTCTTCACCACTGGACCGCCAGGGAAGTCCCTGGGGACCTGCATTTTCATTTTGCACTGGAACCTTCAAATTATGTGGCTGGTCCTGAGCTCAGGAGAGGGTGATCATGAATGATTAAAAAGAGGGAGAGTCAGGAGGCAAGGAGAACAGATAAGAAACTATAATAACAGTCCAAGGAAAAGCTAATGAGGACATGAAGTGGTGAAGCCTTCCTAATCTTAGCAGATACTCTAAGTTTTTAGGGCTAATAAAGAAAACCTGGGTCATAGACCCAAGGATAGTCTTTGAATCCCTCAGCTCCAAGCTACACAGAATAATTCTTAATTAAATACTTGAGTCAGGAGGAAGCTGAAATTTTATAGGAAGGCTTTGGGAGTTTTTAAGCAGGGATATTACATAAGATTTATTTAGCAAATATCTATTGAACATCTGGTATGTACTAGGCTTAGTGGTACCATTATTAATAGAAACGTATTGCGTGCCAGAGATTAATGTTACCTGGTGAAAGCTCACTGCCCACAGTGCAGGGAAGCCAGTACTCTGGCACTGGCTTTTGAAAAAAGAAAGAACTTTATTGCCAGGTTGACCCTCAAGCCCACAGGAGTCAGGGCTCAAATCTGCCTCCCAGATTCAGTTCAGGGTGAAACTGAAGAGTGAAATGGAAGCTGATGGGTTAGTCTTGAATCAGTAGATAGATGATAAGTTACTTTTGCAGTTGGAAGCTAGATTTGCTTTACTGAAGGGCTTCTCACTTCATAACGAGCTCTGGTGGCAACATTTCTACCCCTTGAATTCCGTAGACTGAAGATCCTTGGTTCCAGGCTCACCCTGGACTCACAGGTTTCCATGTTGCACATGCACGGAGATGTTTCTGTAAAATAACCAGGTTTCACTCATCAACAGCCTGTTTTTTAAAAGCAAGATCAGTTGAAACTGGTCCATGTCCTACCTGTTGTTTCATTAGCAGTCCCTGCCATTGACACTGTCATCAGTTCAGTTCAGTCGCTCAGTCGTGTCCGACTCTTTGCGATCCCATGGACCACAACCCGCCAGGCCTCCCTGTCCAACACTAACTCCCGGAGCTTACCCAAACTCGTGTCCATCGAGTCGGTGATGCCATCCAACCATCTCATCCTCTGTCGTCCTCTTCTCCTCCTGCCCCCAATCCCTCCCAGCACCAGGGTCTTTTCCAATGAGTCAGCTCTTCGCATCAGGTGGCCAAAGTATTGGAGTTTCAGTTTCAACATCAGTCCTTCCAATGAACACCCAGGACTGATCTCCTTTAGGATGGACTGGTTGGATCGGCTTGCTGTCCAAGGGACTCTCAAGAGTCTTCTCCAACACCAAAGTTCAAAAAGCATCAATTCTTCAGTGCTCAGCTTTCTTTATAATCCAATTCTCACATCCATACATGACTACTGGAAAAACCATAGCCTTGACTAGATGGACCTTTGTTGGCAAAGTAATGTCTCTGCTTTTTAATATGCTGTCTAGGTTGGTCATAACTTTTCTTCCAGGGAGTATGCGTCTTTTAATTTCATGGCTGCAGTCACCATCTGCAGTGATTTTGGAGCCCCCCAAAATAAAGTCTGCCATTGTTTCCACTGTTTCCCCATCTATTTGCCATGAAGTGATGGGACTGGATGCCATGATCTTAGTTTTCTGAATGTTGGGCTTTAAGCCAACTTTTTCACTCTCCTCTTTCACTTTCATCAAGAGGCTCTTTAGTTCTTCTTCACTTTCCGCCATAAGGGTACTGTCATCTGCATATCTGAGGTTATTGATATTTCTCCAGGCAATCTTGATTCCAGCTTGTGCTTCTTCCAGCCCAGCATTTCTCATGATATACTCTGCATATAAGTTAAATGAGCAGGGTGACAATATACAGCCTTGGCATACTCCTTTCCCTATTTGGAACCAGTCTGTTGTTCCATGTCCAGTTCTAACTGTTGCTTCCTGACCTGCATACAAGTTCTCAAGAGGCAGGTCAGGTGGTCTGATATTCCCATCTCTTTCAGAATTTTCCACAGTTTATTGTGATCCACACAGTTGAAGGCTTTGGCATAGTCAATAAAGCAGAAGTAGATGTTTTTCTGGAACTCTCTTGCTTTTTCGATGACCCAGCGGATGTTGGCAATTTGATCTCTGGTTCCTCTGTCTTTTCTAAAGCCAGCTTGAACATCTGAAAGTTCACGGTTCATGTATTGCTGAAGCCTGGCTTGGAGAATTTTGAGCATTACTAGTGTGTGAGATGAGTGCAATTGTGTGGTTCGAGCATTCTTTGGCATTGCCTTTCTTTGGGATTGGAATGAAAACTGACCTTTTCCA